TGGTCTCAAACCTTTTAAGAGAAACTCAGCTTTTGAATTTGCAAGTCATTTTTACCTTTGGCTGTTTCAGGGTAATTAAGTTTCCTCATATCATCGGCAAATGGCAGAAAGATGACATGAAAACCAGGTGGATGCGTCTGGACATTGTGTTCATCATAAGTTTCTTTCTATAGTTCAAAATAGCAAGAAAAATTAAAAACTGTTCACAATGATTCAAAATGATGATGATGATAACAGAATCAATCCCAGTGCAAATCAAGCTGTCATGACCACAGGTAGCCCAAGCTAGGGATTTGTGTTGTTTTTATACAGAAACACCACAATCCTTAGCTTGGGCTGCCTTAGCCATGCCCACGTAAGAAAGTTAAGGCCGATTTAGACAGCACAACTTTTGCCTACAACTATCGCATGCAGCATGTGTAAGTCATCCTTACGACATGGCTACAACTGTCGTAGGGATATCAAACAATTGTTTTTAATCTCTACGACAGTTGCAGCCATGTTGTAAGGATGACTTAYGCAGGCAAAGTGTAGGCAAAAGTTGTACCRTCTAAATCGGCCTTTAGGCAAYCACAGAGTGCCAGACGTTTGATTGACAAGAACTGCGACACTGACCTGTGGTAGGAGTGCAACAAAGTAAGGAGCTGAGGCAGCCCTTGGAATGTATCTACAAATCGGCACACAATCCTTCTCAAGAGATTTGGTCAGAAGAGCAGARAATAGTGTGGYACTGCCAGTCACAGACTGAAAGAGATGGATGAAATGACGGTGAGTGGAAACCTAAATATAATTATCCACTGAAACATTTGTTCATCCACCCACAGTCAGCCCACCCATTTATTTAATATTATTCATTTATTTTATCTATTTTGTAATACATTGAATTTATACCTTTTCATCAGGGTAAATGAAATGAGCAGGCTTGATATGATAGTATCTCTTTAAATATTTTCTTGGTTTGAAACCCATCAATAAAAGACCTAATGAATATCATAATGAATCATGATTGTATTAAATGAATTATCTATATCTTTGCTGTATATAATAAATTATAATATAACAGAGGGCAGAGGACAGAGGACAGAGGACAGAGGACAGAGGACAGAGGACAGAGGACAGAGGACAGAGGACAGAGGACAGGAAGATAACAGCCACTTAATAACAAACCTGGATTGCCAAATGTTTTCATTGCTGCCACCTCTTCTTTCTCAAAGATAACCTAACAGTAGTCATTACATTAGCTTTGGCCCTTTGGCAAGGCATCCACAATAGCTATGGCAATAGCCGAGTTTTGATATTTTGGCTGACTAACCAATACACAAAAGAACTGAAAGTGAGGTTCTGAGGAAACAAAACAATTCCCATTGTAACCCTGAGGATGGGCCGGCCAATAGGCTCGAAAGCTTGGTAAATAAAACAAAATTGGTTGATGAAACACGAGTACCATGAGTTCAACATTACCAACATTACCAACATTACTCTATTTGACTTAATTCCCTAATGGTTTCCCTTTACCAGATGGTTCAAAGAGCTCGAATTTCGATACTCAATGTGACATAAGCCTTTGTTATTCATGTGCCAACCAGAAGATGATTGGCTGATTGGCTGGACAAAGTGACTTGTGTAAAGCCATACTGATCATGGTTGACACATTAACATAAGAATGAGTTTGTTGATAAACATTGAGTAAATCGCTAGTATATAGAGCTWATCTTTGATTAACTCTTGAAAATCCATGGAGAAAACCCTAAATTAATCATACCCCAAGATTTCACTTTTCTTTAATTGGCCTTTGAAAAAACCAGTCAAGAGCTCTGTATTCAATTCTTTTGTCATGTGTTTGAAGTCAGGGAATTCGAAAATATAAAAAGTGACCTATCACAGAGTAACTGTGAACCTGAAAACTGAGGAGAATGACTGCTTGCGGACAGTTTGTTAGGACAGTACATAAAAATTCAGAAAAATATATTGTCACAAACCATAACTTTTCTTAACTCACCTTTTCGCCTCCAAACATCTGATAATACTTGATATCAGTGGGCATCAATTCTAGTCCTGTGTCCTGCCACAATTCAATGTRAACATTGAGAAAACTATGAACAAATTAAACTTTTTTGTGTATTGTTATTTTATTCATACATGTACTATTCATCTTTCATGGACTAATGACCCATGACCCATGACCCATGAAAGAATCATAACCAACCGCCGTACATTGCGCGCTTGTATTATTGTTTACATACGATTAAATGCGTCAAGCATACAATAGATTATAGATTGATAGAGCCTGTGAGGTACTTAGTTAAAGRTATTTCTGTCCAAACTGAAAGGACGGAAGACGATTCGCGCTCACTTTAAGAAATCCTACGAATCCGAAATTCGGTCACATCCATTAGTCTGTCAAAACTAGTTTTGTTTACTTACTAGGTTAACCTCTTCAGTTGACTTGCAAAGAAAATATCAGGAGAAATATTGAGGGAAACGTGGGAACAGCATGTTTTACCTTGCAGATGTATTTAGTGTKTGTTTTGAGTTCTTCATTTGTGCGACTATCGAGATTGACGTAACTTGACTTGGTTGCAGGACGGCATAAGTTAAATCTACCAGTAAATAAATAAATACAAATTAAAGAAATATACAAATACATAAAATTAATAGTCACAAATGATTGATAAATGAAATAAAATTTCTCAATATTGAATGAATGGATATGGGAAAGTGATTAAATGGAGAACAGACTCGCAAAAAGCACTCAAAATATCATATAATTTATTCAATTTTAGAACTTTGAAATGAACACCTAGACTGATTCCATAAGTTGGTATCAGATCAATCTCTGTCAACACTTTTTGTTGCTCACAGTTGAGAGACAATCTGAAAAATCGAGGAGCGAATACTTCGACTTGTATGGAATCAGTCTAAATGAAAACCATGATTTTAACATTCTTTTTTTGTAATGTTTTTGTCACAAGAGGTAATAGAGAACTAAGACAGCAGTCTGACTGGCTTTAAAGTGAAGCAGGTTTTGTGTAGGATTTCCACTATTAGTAACAAATTGATCTCTGAACCTTTTACCACTCTGACTCACTACTTGACTTTCAATGCATTGTGGGTTTACTTTCTAGAGAAAACAAAAGAAATCCGCCATGTTCTGTACCAAACATATCCTACAATGCATTGCTTGGTACATGACTACAAGCTTCAGAGGTTTATTCTGGCTACCTACACATTGATTCCCATGTCCACACCATCAGCCAAAGTAAAGGGGATACTAGCCATAGACCTTTTCTTGTGTTCTTTCTTTTGAACTCTACACATAAAAAAAGCATATGCATTCACATAAAGATTTGACTGATCAATATAAATAATGCTTGCACTATTCTTATAAAACAGAAGGTTGTACCTTGCAAGTAACTCATCTATCTTTGATGATGCATCAGGTAATGCCACAAATTCATCATCATCATTGCTGATGATATCCTGTCAATAAAATATGTAAAATTTGATTTCTGTCTCAAGGAAATACCATGAAATACCAGGAAAAGCATAAAAGTATTACCTGGTAGAAACAAGAGACATCAAAAACTCCACTAGAAGGACGCATGTGCATTAGTTCTATCGTGATGCMGATGTCAAATAAATCCTATGATGAAGAAAGTCTTCAGTTGATAGTAAGTACATAGTAAATGATGAAAATGAACTTAATTGAATTTTTCAAATAAAGCCTTGGCTGCTATTTGTAATAAATGTTAAAGATATAGAATTTCAAGCTTCCGTTTTCAATCTTCATTCCCAATGCTGTAGACACTCAACAAAAACCTTGGAATCCCATATTAACATCTTACAAATAGCAGCCAAAGCTTTATTTGATACAATTCCTTAATGCATYKYGCTGCTAAAGGATAACTTCATATTATGTAATGTTTAATTTTTTGACTTCTAACATCAACATACCCTTGCTTTGGTGATTGCTTGGTTCTGAAACAAAACAAGAAAAAAAAATGTAATTCAATATGTAAAATGAAAAATTGAAATAAACCTATTATCAATCTTTCMAAAAAATCAAATAATAAAATTAAATATAATCAATTATATTTTAACTTCATGAAAGTGTCCAAATTATCTTGTCTGTCCAGTCACCGAAGGGACATACATGTATGTGTATAAAATGGCTTTAATAAAAGGGTTGTCGTTGACGTTTAATTCACATGGGATGTAACTATCTGGCCATCATCATACGCCATACTGGATGGTAAAAGAATGTAAACAACCTCAAAAAGGAGGTTCCCAGCCCATCAAGCTAATTGACTTTCTTTGTTTTGAACATCCCAGTGGGAATTTTGCCCTTCAGTTTGTCAGATTTAGTACCATGTGACTGTTAAGATGTGACTATTAAGTTCTATATTAAGTAGCCTCTTGCTAATATTGCAAACAAAAGGTAGCCTGTGTAGCGACTCTAGGGGAGGGGGAGGGGGAAAACGGAAGGGGAGGGAGCAGAAAAAGGAGAGCCTGCTAGAACGAGTTTAAGTAGGTGGTTACACGATTTAGTGGCTCATTCTAGCAGGCTCTCCTTTTCCCGCTCCTTCCCTTCCGTTTTTCCCCTCCCCCCCTCCCCTAGAGCCGCTACGCAGGCTAAACAAAGGGTTCTTCCATGGACAAAGAAGTTCAGTACTGAATACCTGTAGAGTTCTGTTGTTGCCATGGGGATTGTCATTATTGGTGAATAACATGATKCGTTTATGACCAGATTTTTGACCACTGAAAAATAAAAATAAAATATAATAACAAAAAATGAAAACCTTTGGAAGATACAAATTCATCTTATTATCAGTTGTTATCTGGTTATCATAGGGAATACAAATCTAAATAACAAAGAAACTACTCGGAGTATATTATTCTGGCAGCTTCAATCAAATGAATCCATTTTCCAAAGGACTTATATTCGTCAAATAGTTTTAAGTTTTGTTCCGTGATGTTGCTTCATTCGCTGTAGCAATGCCCTCGAATGTCCTTAAGGCTTGTCAGTCCTGAAGTTGTATGGAACAAATTATCCTGCTAGCCTATTATGCTAATACCTTTGAGARAATATATTTGAGCAGGTCCATAAGACATCATTGATAGAGAAACCATCATTGTGACCAAATGTRTCCTTGAAGTTA